CAGGTATGATAATGTCAACTCCAGCTGTTGCCGTAGATAAGAGAACAGCCCTTCCTGTTATCACGTATCTTAGTGTAAGTGTGGGCGTGGTCATCGCACTTTCAATCGCTGTGTTATCTATTATTGAGTTACCCTGGCATATTCCCTGAACAACAAAAGTGTCCATTATTTCCTGTGCAGGGGCGAGCGAAGTGGCCGAATCACAAGTGATTGAGTGAGTTGGGTTTAACGCCGATTTTAAAAGTATTCCAGTTATTTCACGGCGTGTCCGCTTAATGTTGGAGGAAAGCCCGAAGTGATGCAGGTCTCAGACGTTTACCACTTTGGTGAAACCCACGAGCACGGGTATGGTGCTGACAAAACTTGAAACATAATCGGGGCGAAGAGGGATTCGAACCCACAATCATAGGTATGTGGCGTGCCCAAGGGACGCAACTCTGCACAACAAACAAACATCGAATCGCGGCGTCTCACACGACTGGGCCACCCGTGCGCCCTTGAACACAAGACTGAGTCAAGTTTTAACGCCGCTTTGAGGGATTCGAACCCACGATCATAGGGTTTTGGCGTTCCAAAGGACGCAACTCTGCACAACAATTCGCGGCACCTTGGACGACTGGGCCACCCATGCCCCCTTTATCACAAGATTAAGCATGAGATGAAATACTGACGAAAATGATAATGTGTCATGTCCCATACTGAACTCTTTTTTTCTTATAAAACGAGAGTGAGTTTGGCTTGAGGCCACTTTGAACGGTTTTGTCAGCTTGATGTGCGAGTAAAGCCCGAAGTGACGTAGGCCTGGGACGTTTATCATCTTGGTGGAACCAACGAGCACGGGTGTCATACTGTACCCCCCGAGAAAAGGGAGGAACATTTATATTTGCAACATCATCTACAGCAGCAAATGTTGAACTGTCGCCCATAAAGCCGTGAAGAGTGAGTGAGTGAGTATGGTTTTACGCCGTTTTTAGCAATATTCCAGCAATATCACGGCGGCGGACACCAGAAATGGCCTTCACACATTGTACCCATGTCTGGAACGAACCCGGGTCTTCGGTGTGACGAGCGAACGCTTTAACCACTAGGCTACCCGACCGCTCCAAAGCCGTGAAGAAAACTAAACCTACTTGTATACATTAGCATTCAAAAGACATGTGTTTAGTTCCTTTTGAAATGTGATATGGCTGCCATGGGGGCCATATTGGAGGACCGCCTCCGTGGTCTAGTGGCAGAGCGTCCGTCTGGAGAGCGGAAGACCCGGGGTTAGATCCCCGGCCGCGTCATACCCCAAACAAGTTAAAAGATTGTACTCTTGTTACCCTGCCTGACGCTCGGCGTAAAGGGGCTAAAACAAGGACTGGTCGGCTCGGAGTCAGCATATTGTGTTTGGCTGGGCATGTAAAACTGCGGCATGGTATCACGGTGGACTGGCACTTAAAATCGGCACTAGTCCGGACCTTTACAAGCAGCCACACAAACACACACGTTCTTGCACGTCGCTTTTCAAGTGCAATAATCTTGGTCGCGATGTTAAACCCCTTTTCACCTCACCATATTGAAAATAGGATTCGAACATCCTGAACATATTAAAGGTTCAGCTTCATTGGTCCAGTGACGTTTAAGGATAATTACAGACGCCGCCGACCCCGACATGAAGGTCAGGCCACGGGGCACTGATAGGCTTCCAATTTGATAAATGTCTGATACTAATGACAGGGGTTAATCTACACCACGGTTCATACTTACACAGCTGTTTCACGCAGATAGGACAGCAACCACAGTAGCCCCCGTGGGGGTCAATACGACCATCACACCCCAGGGCAGACAGGCAAGACACCGCCATGCACGTGGTAGGGGAACACCCCGTATGTACCGGCAGTCCGTTGAAGTCCAGACATTGGGCACCGACGAAGGTTAGGCACAGCACAAGCAGACACCTCATATTGTTTGGCGCACGTAATGTAGACTGATTTCTGTGGCCTGATCTTTTGATCATGATAAGACTGAACTGGTTTCTGTCTTCAAATCCACAAAGGAGTGGAGAGGCTAAGCGAGGGGTGGGTTTTGTGCTGAATATACACTGTGTTTTTTATAATTTGTGAAAATTAGAAAATATAATTAATGTAGATGAGTATTATTTGGGGTCGGGTGTGGGCTGAGTGGCTGGAGAGTGAGAGAGTGAGTGAGTGAGTGAGTGAGTGAGTGAGTGAGTGAGTGAGTGAGTATTGTTTTACGCCGCTTTTAGCAATATGGGCTTCCCACATTGTACCCATTAGGCAAAGCGAACCTGGAGCTTTTGGCGTGACGAGCGAAGGCTTTAACCACTAGGTTACCCTACCACCCCTGGGGATTGAGGACTGGAGCTGGGATTTGCGATTGGGGCTAGGCAGCGGGGCTTAGGGTGGGGATTAGAGCTGGGGGCTGGAGTGGAGCTTGGGGCGGGGCGGGATGTTGAGTGGTGTTCTGGCTGAGAAGCTCAGGGACTCGGATGGCGCTAGGTTTGTGGCTGAGGCTTCAGTTCGGTACTTGGAGACGGGGGTTGGCGCTAGGGGTTGGGGGTTGGGGGTTGGGGATTGGGGATTGGATGCGTGTTCTTTAACCTAGTCTTTCATCAAACACATCTGTCAGGGTCAAATGTACGCGTCGGCCGTAAAATATACATTCATTTATTCTCATTTAGCAATTTTGTTTGTCTGTCGGTCAGTCCGATAACGGTACGAAAATGTAACCGCTTCCTCAATTTTATCATCCCGTACAATCACAGAGAGATGAATTTTATCTGTATTGATACAGAAACTGGCACAGAAACAATCACAATCCATGCCCTACCCTTTCTGTTTCACACGAGAAGATTCTAAATTATATTTTCACAATTTGGTCCTTTCAAAAGAAAATAATAAAAACCCACCCAAAATATTGAAACACCATTCCCTTATCGTGCCAGTCACAATATGACAAAACCCTTTCTATATTCGTAAGAAATGTCACAGACTAGTGTACGATTCTGACTATTAGCATGTGTTCATGAATCCGTATCCAATAGTAATGCCCCACCGGTGTCACCCGTCACGAACACATGCAAAGGCAAGTCAATTGTTCACCTGAAATCGGAAAATATGGTGGAACTCAAAATAGGGAATTGCATCGGACGTCGTTTTATCACTGATGCGTCAAATCTGAAAATGTCCTCCACAACACTTTATGAAAGCTTTACTGAGACCTTGAATGTTGTAACCTTGATCAAACAACTTCTGAGCAAGAGTCAATGCTGACTTCCTCCTTAGGTTTCAGGTTCATCACTACAGCAGGTTTGGAGAAGAAATCGAAAATTAACGGAGAATGGATTGAGGACGGACAGAAGACGGACATTCGCTTTGCCATATGCTTACCTTTATGTTCGGTCCTGATCAGCTATATCTACTGAAATTGCGGCAATTCTACGTAAATTCGTATTACAACGGTATTAGAAGTTGAAATATGAGCAAACGCGCTAGCAACTATGCTTGTCTAAGCCAGTACAGACCAGGGTGTCATGGCGGTTATAAGTAGTATTCCAGTCATACCAAGGCGTGTCAGCTACATGTGGGAGGAAACCCGAAGTGATGCAGGTCTCAGACGTTTACCATTTCGGTCAAACTCACGAGCACGGGTATGGTGCTGACAAACCTAGAAACATAATCGGGGCGAACCGGGATTCGAACCCACAATCAAAGGTTTCTGGTGTGCCCAAGGGACGCAACTCTGCACAGCGAATCGTGGCGCCTTGGACGACTGGGTCACCCGTGCCCCCAACGGCGCTAGGAGGTTATCGTGAAGGGGTACCAGAGACTTACAGAGTTGAGCGACGCATGCTGGACAGCACCCACAGAAACCTCCTGTTGGGTCGACCCTCCCGTCACAGTCATTGGGGTAGGCACACCGAATGACGGCACATATGTTGTTATGGCAAACTGGAACGGCCCCTACGGCGGCAACTGCGGCAACAACCACTACGAGAAGCGACTTCATCATGATTGTAGAAAGGACAGTTGACTTGGCTGACTTTCGACTACTTTATCGTGGAACCTTATGACCCTTGACACAAATCTCAAGATAGTTTTGTATCATAGTTGTTCCATATCACTCACAGTATACTTAGGTCTACAACATTCTTAAGCTAAGATAAGGAGTGTCGGAGTGAGTGAGTTTGATATTACGCCGCTTTTAGCAATATTCCAGCACTATCACGGCGGGGGACACCAGAAATGGGCTTCACACATTGTACCCATGTCGGGAATCGAACCCGGGTCTTCGGCATAGGAGTGTCGGAAATCCTAGAAAAATGCTTTTCAGGCTTCAGTTATTGAAAAAAGCATTTTTCTGGCATTTTCGACTGTACTTTTTTTAGTTGATTTTATTTGCCGACTATCGCCAGTAGCTAGAGAGATGGTGTAAATCCTGCCGGGGTACCATGCAGGTAGCAGAGGTACATAAGTCCCCACGGTCCCTAGTATGGTGGTGGTAATGAGTGAGTGAGTATGGTTTTATGCCGCTTTTAGCAATATTACATCAATATCACGGCGGGGGACACCAGAAATGGGCTTCACACTTTGTACCCATGTCGGGAATCGAACCCGGGTCTTTGGCGTGACGAGCGAACGCTTTAACCACTAGGCTACCCGACCGCCCCTTGGTGGTAATGAATAGTGATATCTTTGTAAGGTTGGTTGGTTGTTCTTAACGCCGCACTAAGCAATATGTAAATAATAGAGACTGGACCAGACGATCCAGTGATTGACATCATGAGCATCGATCCACACAATTGGGATACGATGACATGCATCAACCATGTCAGCGAGCCTGACTACCCGAGCCCGTTAATCGCCTTTTACGACAAGCATAGTCGCCTCTTACGTCAAGCATGGGTTGCTGAAGACCTATTCAAACCATGGATCTTCACGGATAGGACACACATGTCATAAGCTTCGTATTATTGAACAGAGATGTAAAACTGTTACCTAAGCCTTGTGATGACCTTGACATTGGGATTATCCACGGATTGAAAGAAGGCACTGAGAGGAGTGGCCTTGACTTTGCCAGATGGGACAGCAGAAACACCACACATACAGCATCGCGGTAGAGCGTCATCGTCAACCCGATCCGTTAATACCTGGGAAATATAATATCAGGAATAGGCTTAATCTGGGGATTCCTGGTAAGGGGATTCCTTGTAAGAAAACCAATCCAGAAATATATGCGGTCGTGGGTCGTTGCTCACAATATCAATCACTGGTTTGTCTGCTCCAGACTAGATTATTTGCAGGCCGCGGTGATATAGCAGGGATACCGCTGAGTGCGGCGTTAAACTCCTGCTCATGACAAGTCAGTACACACCGGTTTTAGGGCATCCGCACACATTGAATGAATGTTGTTTTACACCGCAGTTAGCATCATTCTATCCTGTATCCTGAGTCCTGTTAAAATACAAACCTGGACAAGGACATCATACGTTGAGAGCATCGGAAATAATCCAAGCCATCGAGCCTCGAAAACAAAATATGACAATGAACGCTCATCGCCACTCTGATGACACTCCTTTCAGACCCTTTCTGTCACGCATCTCGATATACCAGATCAGTAATGTAAACAAGATGCCATCTAGATACTCCAATCAAAGATACCCTAAAACATCCTATCACATGTAATATGGGAAATAGCCTTCTAATATCAAAACGATCAATATGTTACCTTTTCTTGATGACCAGTCACGGAGAAGTGGTGCGTTCGAGAGATGCGGTTTGACACTTGTTCTCAACCTTCCTGTCGCAGTGTTCGCGTCATCAATCAGAGGACATGGGTTTCGCCCTAATTGTAGTCCAACCAAGATTAAATAGTCATTAAAATTATGTGCTTTGTTTTAGTTCAATTGAACAATATCTGTTTACTCTAATTCACAGAGAAAACGTCTCAGTTTTGGCACGTTTCACAAATTATATAAACACAATATATAAACACGATATGTCACATGACGAGGTTGTCTGCAACTTAGTGGTATGTGGGTCTAGCTTATTAGAAGATTTTAGCAACACGATATTTCCTTGTACAATTTTAAACATTTGCAAAATTAAGACACATTTTTTGGTAGGCTGTGGTAGGGTTGGACAGTGGTCAAATTTCTTTCTTTTAAGGCGTCTTTAAAGCTTTCAAAACCTTTTAAGCCAGACGTGGAAGGCATTTCCAAATTTACAATTGCGATTCCCTATATTGTACCTTATGCTCCCAACCCGTGAAGATCCGGGGTAGAATAGGTCTTCAGTAACACGAAAAGAACACCCGATTTTTCATATTGCTGTATAGTAATATGAAAGAATCGGGTGTTCTGTAACTTCTTTCGAGTAGTATAAATCTTAGAAGTGGTCGATCTGCTCATATTTTCATTTGGCTCTCTTTGTGCCAGATGGTTGAGCATAAATACTGGCACGAAATATAATACGAATTAAATAAATATCTGCGTTATTCAATTCCTGTAGGCACAGATGTAGCATTTGCTTTTGTTTGTTTGTTAATTGTTAGGAATATTCCGGCTACATGATGGCGACCTGTAAGTCCAGTAAAGATCCGGGTTAGAAATGGACTTCAGCAACCCATGCTTGTCATAAGAGGCGACTAACGGGATCAGGTGGTCAGGCTAGCTGACTTGGTTGATGTCAATCACTGGATTGTCTGGTCCAGACTAGATTATTTACAGACAGCAGTCATATAGCTGGAATATTGCTGAGTGCGGCGTTAAACAACAAACAAACAAACAAACAATTACCATGTGCTTCCGTAGTTTAGGTGAACACTTGACTTGCCTTTGCATGTATTTATGACGGGGGCCAGCGGTGGGGCAGGATATGTTCACCTTTTTTTGCGAAAAACCTGGTATCAAGTCGGAATCGTACAATGAATTCTGTCTTTAGCAGATATTTCGTATGATTGTGGAAAAGGCGTCATCGCTTTTATTTTCATACGTTTGAATCAGGAAGATTGTGCTGAATGGGGTTTGGGGTCAGGAGTAATTGTAAAGTATTGCATTGTCCATATATTGTATCCTTGGTCACAAAAGGACCAAGGTTAAGTGAGTGAGTCAGTGAGCATGGTTTTACGCCGCTTTTAGCAATATTCCAGCAATATCACGGCGGGGGACACCAGAAATGGGCTTCACACATGGTATCCATGTGGAGAATCGAACCCTGGTCTTCGGCGTGACGGCGAACGCTTAAACCACAACGCAACCCGACCATCCCCTACCCCGAAGGTTAAGAGTCCGTCGACGTGGCTTGCCACTCATTCAAATAACACCCGAACTAAATCGTCTTGCTCGCCTCAGTTATCATAATCTTTTATGAATTGGATTCGTAGGATTTTATCAACACAAGATAAGCCCATGGGAAGATCCATACCATAAAGTAGAGGGACTTCCATTATCTAATTGCTGTGTAAGAATTAAGGCGATGAAATAACATTTATCTAGACAATCTCTTAGAATTGCCCCGGGGGTCACTCGTCATACAGGTACGTGTCCGTGATCTGAGGTCATCACCTGATTTTGACCACCACCTGTTGGTTCCATTATGCTCTCGGCAATAACAAATACCATTAGATTTAAAACACGACACATGTCATGCACGTAGAAACACTACCCATACGGTTGTACCGAGATCTCGAAAATCTCGGTTGTCACGTGCACTTGGAACAAATCAAGATTATCACGTGCACTGGTGACACATGTATTGGAAGCGATCAAGCCTGTTATGTAAATTACATGAAACACTCTTAGATACACTCTGAGATGTCTTTGTTTGTTGAGCGCAAACAAAAGTTTAACAACTTTGAAATCAAATAAAAATGCTGATTGCAGTTTTTCATCCGCCGAATTTCTGCCTGCCAACCATATTTTTAAGTGAGTGAGTGACTTGGGTTTAACGTCGACGTCGCTTTAAACAATATTTGGCATAAATAACAGTAGTATTGTATCGTGTTTCATTATCACCATCAATCCCAATGTGCTTGGGTTTTATTTATATTCTATGGTCTTTCTACAACAAAAAGACTAAGACTTAGTTAAGATTTCAAAAGGTTTTATGCAATTTCCTATTTTGTATTATATCACGTGTTCAGATAATTACTTGCCTTGCCTTTGCATGTGTTTGCGGTGGCTACAACCGGAGGGGCAGGATATGCTCACCTTTTTGCGAACACCTATTACCATCACTATTTGATGTTGATTCATTAACACGTGTTTCTGATACTGTCGATGTCGTACATTTCTTATGATTATGGAAAGGGCTTTCTGTTTTTTTCTTTTGTAAACAAACGTAAACATGTTTTTTGCCTGAATGCAAAACCGAACTTTCTTCTGCTTCACTTAATATTTACCTATACATGTGGAATCTTAAATGATTCGCTGATGAAATAAATTACTGTTTGATGTATCCATTCCGCCAGTCGTCAGAGTTGCGTCCCTTAGGCGTGCCAGAGACGTTTGATCTTGAGTTCGAAGCCCGGTTCAATATGATTGTTTCTTGGTTTGTCAGCACCTTTCGTCAGTGGTAAACGTCGAAGATCTGCATCATGTTGGGCTTCCTCCCTTGGTGCCATGCGGTTATATAACTGATACAATGTTCAAAGCGGCGTTAAACTTCACTCACTCACTCGCGGATCATGCAATATGATACGAATAAGGGTAACAACAACTCGATCTATTTCATCATCGATGTATTTTTGTGTTCTACTGTAATGAGAAGGACGTAAGTAACCAATAGTTCGTGATTGTTGTAATTGCCGTAAAAAATGGAGATCTGAATAATTCAGATTTCAAATGTTTGAGACCCGTGAAGATTCGGAGTAGAAGAGGTCTTCAGCAACCTATGCTTGCCGTAAAAGGCCACTATGCTTGTCGTGAGAGGCGACTAACGGGATAGAGTAGCCAAGCTCGCTGACTTGGTTGATGCATGTCATTGTATCCCAATTGCATAGATCGATGCTCGTGATGTCAATTGCTGGATTGTCTGGCTCAGACTCGATTACTGAGTGCGGCGTTAAACAACAAACAAACATATCAAATGTTTGACTTGGCCAAGGCAGAGTCATGCATTTGTCTGCTAATGGTATGAACATATAAATTTTCTTGAACTAGCTACTGGACTGAACTCCAAACTTTATGTTATATGGCGAATTGGGTAGGGAACCACTAAGTATTAAAGTTTATAAACATGTTATCTCGTTTTGGCATAAGCTTGCTACCTCAGAATTGTATGAGAAACCGTCCCACATACTTTACAAATACATGTATACTATCCATATAGAAGTTGAAAATGTCCAATGGTTAGAATGTATTAAGAATATATTCGATAATTACGGTCTATCATATGTATTACAAACCCCATGGGTATGAGAGAGAGAGAGAGAGACACAGAGAGAGACAGAGAGAGAGAGAGAGACAGAGAGAGAGAGAGACAGAGAGAGAGAGAGAGAGAGAGACAGAGAGACAGAGAGACAGAGACTTATCACCTTTTCCCATACCTGATATGTTTCATAACAAAAATATATTTTGAAGACTCAACTGCAATGGAATTTTAAGTGCAACTAACGGATTATATCAGCTAGGGTGATAAGAGATAATTTACATTTAAAAGCAACCGCCCCCTTATCTCGTGAATAGAGTAATTGCAGCACAATGTTGCCGCGAGTGCAACCCCCACAGGCAACTAGCTGTGTACGTATAAAGAGGCCAAGAAGAGATGGACGTCATTCAAGGTGAGAGTGGTCAGATGATAAACTTGACCAGTGGAATACTGTGGCGTGAGTGCTGTTGAAGTCAAATCCAACGACATCAGGTAAGACAGGAATCTGCTGAAGGATTATGTGTATTTATATGGGTGTTAAAAAGACAAAGTCTCTGTCCTGTTTGGGGCGATCACGGGCTGATGTCCGGCTTGGGGAAACATGGTGCCACATGCTGTCACATTCGATTGAACACCGGTGTCGTAGATCTTACAGCCCTACGAACTCAATATCCGCCGGACATTGTACCCAAGGAAATGTAGTCCCGGGTATTAATGGCTAGTGTCCAATGTCCTCGGTCATTCCTCCCGTGAAGATCCGGGGTAGAACTGATCATCAGCAACCCATGTTTAATGTAAGAGGCAACTAACGGGATCGGGTGGTCAGGCTCGCTGACTTGGTTGATGCATGTCACCGTGTCCCAATGGCATTGATCGATGCTCATGATGTCAATCGCTGATTCTGTGGTCCATACTCGATTATTTACAACCGCCGTCATACAGCTGGAATATTGTTGAGTGCGGGGTTAAACAACAAACAAACTAAGACATTCAGTACTAAGATAACAACATCCAGGAACTACAGATCCTAAGGAATGTCCCACAAGCTAATGTCCTATCAGTGCAGTGTCGCTTCCTGTTCGAGAACATGGGTCTAACGTCCGCGCCTAACACTTGGGGTTGATTTTAGGATTTTGAACTTCTGAATTCTTTCGCGAATAAAGACGTTGAAGTCAACTCTGTGATCACTGGAACTGCAACTTCTAAAAAGACAGTAAAGCTATAACACTTAGAGTTGTATTCTAGTAATGTGTATGTTTTAGATTTTGTCAGACAATGAGTACTTTTATATCGGTTCTGAAAGCGTCTCCAGTTCCTCGTTCTTGTCTCATGAACCATTTGCAGTGGGGATTGGGTGGCCAGGCTCCGTCACTCGGCTGATTGTACCTCAATGGGGTGGATCCATACGCTCTGTCACTCAGCTGATTGTGTCATCGTACCTCAATGGATGGATCCATACGCTCCGTCACCATCGTACCTCTGTCACTGGTTCGCCTGGTCCAATCTCGAATTGCTGAAAGCGTCGTTTAACAACATAATCTACCAGTTATATGTATCAATATATTTCTTACATCATCGACCGCTTCCGTGGTCTAATGGTAGAGCGTCCGCCCGGAGAGTGGAAGATCCGGGGTTCGATCCCCGACCGCGTCATACCGAAAGACGTTAAAAGATGGCACTTATGTTTACCCTGTCTGGCGCTCGGCATTAAGGGTGTGGTCAATTTAAACCACTTTATGGTCGGCTTGGAGTCAGTATACTGTTTCTGAGTGGGGTAGTCATGTTAAACTGCTGCATGGTATTTCAGTGAGCCAGCATTATAAATCAGCATCAGTCCGGACAAGTACAAGCAGCCACCCACACACATACACGTGCATGCACGTCGCTATATAAGTGCAATAATCTTGGACGCGACGTTAAACCCCATTTCACCTCACCTTTCTTACATCATCCTTTTTGCCATTCCCAAGATCAAACTGTAGCATATACTACCTTCCTTACAGTGACGACAGTGATCACCTGCACCTCTGACAGTGATTTACCTGTATGAAGGTACCTTGGGACCGCCTCAGGATGAAGATAGCCCGGTATGCCCCCATGGTCAGTGCCCTCATAGTGTCCGTGGTACTCCTGTACATAGCTTCCAGGACGAGGCCGAGACAACCAATGTTTCTGGATCAACAAGACAGGGTCGGACTCAAGTCCAACGCTCAGGTATGTGAAGCATGACATCTCAAGCACAGCTTTTGTCTCCGTCTGATGTGTCTGATGAGTTTTTGTCAATGAGCAACGGACACATCACTCTCAGAGCGATGTCATCTCCGTGGCAATTGGTCCCCTGTATCCCAAACCTAACGTTAGGGGATCGGTAGGGTAGTTCTGGTGACATGGCTGATTGGGTGTCCCTTGTTTCGTTGCCCATGCTGCAATCACTGGTCGCATTGATATAGATCGAATAGTACTGGATACGGCGTAAAACAACATTCCTTTTAGAATTATGTTATGCTTGTGTTTGCATATTTTGTGACTAAAGGGAAATTGATCATAAACGTATATAATACATGATATGTTGAAAGATTTTGCTATTTTACTCGTTCGCAATTCAATTATGAAGTACCCGTCGAATACCACAAGATGTATTAGTTACCAACTAGGAGTACACCTATCTTGTCCTGGTGTATTACACGTTGTATCATTGCAGGATGGAACAGAAGAGAAGAAGTCCCTCCCAGAGCCAGCGTTAGGTACCGGGGAGGGCGTGCCCGCCCATCCAATCCCCTTGGAGGACAAGCTCCGTACCATGACCAACAAACAACTGGCAACTCTTTATAACGAGTAGGTATTTACCGTTATAACCTGTTTGTGTTATAACGAATAGGTTTAATAGATATAAAAAATCATTCATAAAGCATTTCACTTTGAATACGAGGTGTTAAACACTGCATTAACTGGGTGATTGTTCTCAATTATTACACATGTATAAAGGTTTTTTTGATATCAGCACTGTCAATGCGTATCGGCTGCTCTGTACAAGCAACTGACGTAGCGCACAAGCGTTGGTTGGTTGTTTTGTTGTTTAACGCCGCACTCAGCAATATTTCAGCTATATGACGGCGGTCTGTAAATAATCGAGCCTGGACCAAATAATCCAGTGATTGATATCATGAGCATCGATCCACGTAATTGGGACCGATGACATTTATTAACCAAGTCAGCGAGAATGACCATCCGATCCCGTTAGTCGCCTTTTACGACAAGCATAGTCGCCTATTACGGCAAGCATGGGTTGCTGAAGACCTATTCTACCCCGGGATCTTCACGGGTCTGCGCACAAGCGGGCCGTTTTGGATATAACTAATAACCTAATTGTACAGCATTCAACATATTGCATGTATCATACAGTTTAATAAACATCGCATTTCGTATTTAAATTATGTCAACTATCGAACACTGTTGACGTTCTTTTCATTTCATAGAGTTCTTTAACGAACAGTTATCTAAACAACGTTATGTGGTGTTATATTTCTGTTATAACCAAAGTCCACGTGTTGTGCTATATTTTGGTTATGAGGTGAGGTGAGGTGAAATTGGGTTTAACGTCGCGTCCATGATTATTGCACTTATATAGCGACGGGCATGCACGTGTATGTGTGTGTGTGGCTGCTTGTACTAGTCCGGACAGATGCCGATTTATAGTGCTAGCTCACTGAGATACCATGCCGCAGTTTAACATGAATACCCCACTCAGACACAGTATACTGACTCCGAGCCGACCAGTCCTTGTTTTAGCCCCTTAATGCCGAGCGCCAGACAGGGTAACAACAAGTACAATCTTTTAACGTATTTTTGTATGACGCGGCCCGGGATCGAACCCTGGACCTTCCGCTCTCCGGGCGGACGCTCTACCACAAGACCACGGAGGCGGTCATTTTGGTTATGAAAGCAATATCAACGTGTTGTGCTGTATTTCAGTTATCTTACCAACGTGCAAGTGTTGTGTCGGGACAAGATTAGGATGGGCAACATTCACGGCGGCGGCTGGGACGTCTGTGTGGACGGACATTACAAGCTGAAGAAAGACAACTGCATCGTCTACTCATTCGGGTTAGTTTTGTAGTTTTGATATTAAAAGGAAAAACACAATTTTCTCTCATTTATGATACATGAAAATTATCATATCTAATTTGATTAATGTTCATAAAAATTCAACACTCACACGTTTTATTTTATTCTTACAGCATTGACAACGACTTCAGCTTTGACGATGACGTCGCTGACACCTTCGGCTGTGAAGTGCATGCTTTTGATCCCAGGTGAGAGTCGACACCAGCCACCGAAAACTCAGATGATATAAATATGACTACTGGTTAAACCATGCGGTATGCATAAACCTTTAAGCGAGTGTATAAGGGTGTACGGGGCCACAATAAATAGGCTTTACACATTATACCCAGGCGAGGTATCAAACCCGGGCCTTCGGTCTGTCGAGCGAAAGCATTAACCACTTGGCTACCGCACCATTATTCTAATGGAGACATGTTGACAGTTTCAAATAATCACTAAGTATTACCTTGGTGGATGGTGCTCTCTCACTCTGTTACTCTGAGACATCCGTGCTTTTGTATTCACGTCATGGCGGTGACCAGACACAAGAAATTATGTTTATTAACCGACAGTGTCTCTCAGTCATCATGTGATTAAAACCGCATTCAATATTACAGCATGAATAAGGACGGCCACCTGAGGGGGAAGCTGATCAACTTTCACAACCTCGGACTGGCGGACATCAATGGTAACGGCAAGAGGAGTTGGCCAATGAAGACACTCCCGGTCATCAGACAAGACAACGGACACGCCGAGGTAGGACTGTAGACATTAATGAACACATTTACTGAGAGGTACGGCCAATGCCTTCCTTGTACCGCTTCACTGGTAGTGGACAGTAGAGAATTTGAGTTGGGGATTTAAAACAGCCTCGAAAGAGTCCCTTATTGATCAAAAAGATTTCTGTTAAAATAATTGCTATTTATAAGATTGTTATTTGAAAAATGCGCCATGTTGAAATAGGAACGTGTTTTACTGCGATATACAGTTTTGTATTTGTACCATTGAAAACATGATACAATAACAACAGGAAATATACAAATATATAGGTTCTTCACTTCTGTATCTCTTCGTTTCCAGAAAGAAATTGACTACGTAAAGATTGACATCGAAGACTCCGAATGGGGAGCTTTGAGATACGCTTTCAAAACCGATGCCCTCAAAGGTATAAAGCAGCTGTCGTTGGAGTTCCACATGTTTGGTAAAGAGGAGGTGTCTAGGTACATCGCCCGGCTGAACGTCCTCCGGGAGTTGTACAACCAGGGCTACAGGATATTTTGGACACACAACAACGTGGTCTCCGCCTGCAGGTTCACCTCTGTCTTCGATGGCAGACAGAGAACCAAGTGTCATGAAGTCTACTTCCTCAAGTGGGTTTAAAGTTCGCCACGATCATAGAGGCCAATAGACAGGGAACCAGAGGTCATGAAGTCTACTTCATAAAGTGGGTTTAAAGTTCGCCACGATTCATAGAAGCCTTCAGACAGGAGTGTCATGAAGTCTACTTCCTCAAGTGGGTATAAAGTTCGCCACGATTCATAGAAGCCTTCAGACAGGAGTATCATGAAGTCTACATCCGGAAGTGGGTGGTTTAGAGATCGCCAGGATTCATTCACGATCAACCAGTTTGAGTTGAATTTGTATATCTGACTTCATTGCTTTTACCCAATCCACAATATTCACCATTGTGTGCTTTGAACCAACGGTAACACTTAAGTCTATGGACCATGGCTGTTTATGGAATCACTTGTGTGTATATATTGTAAATAGTGCTCATCCATCCGTGTTAATATTGTACATAGTTCATGTCATTGCTGTATTTAATTCATTTCCATTCGAATAAATTATATACATTCTACAAATGCCAACAGTGTTATGTGTGTAATGAAGCGTACCAGGCACCAGGTGTTTATTTTTTTGACGTACCATTAGTCACTTCAGTCGACTCCAGTCATGAAGTGCTGGGTCGCCTTGTGGTTAAAGGGGGCACGGGTGGCCCAGTCGTCTAGGGCGCCGCGATTCGCTGTGCAGAGTTTCGTCCCTTGGGCACGCCAGAAACCTATGATTGTGGGGTCGAATCCCGGTTCGCCCCGATCATGTTTCTAGGTTTGTCAGCACAATATTAATATCCGTGCTCGTGGGTTTCACCAAAGCGATAAACGTCTGAGACCTGCATTGCATCACTTCGGGCTTTCTTCCCACATTAAGCTTTACACGCCGCGATATAACTGGAATACTGTAAAAAGCGGCGTTAAACCCAACTCACTCACTAGTGCTAAAATCGTTTGCTCGTCACGCTGAAGACCCGGATTCGATTCCCGACATGGGTACAATGTGTGAAGCCCATTTCTGGTGTCCCCCGTCGTGATATTGCTGGAATATTGCTAAGAGCGGCGTAAAATCAAACTCACTCACTCACTGAGACAGAAATAAACCATTCACAACATGAGGCTGATAAGTATCTTGGGATAAACAAATCTTTAGATTTTTCCTGAACATGACCAAAATCACCTGATAAACTTCGACTATTACACCCAGTATGTACTTTGTACTTTGTAGCAGGCTCCCTACCGATCTAGAATGAATAAAGGCGACTAACGGGATCGGGTGGTCAGGCTTGCTGACTTGGTTGAAGCATGTCATCGATCCCAATTACGTGGATCGATGCTCATGATATCAATAACTGGATCGTCTGGTCGATTATTTACATACGGCCGTCATATGGCTGGAATATTGCTGATTGCGGCGTTAAACAACAATGAAAAAATGAACAAATCACCTGTAAAAAACTTGTAAATAGTAATATTTCCCACAAATAGTAATTTGATAACGTATTATACGAACGAAGAATGACTAAATCAACTTTGGCATTATCATCTTGGCTTGCAGGTTTGAGACCGCGTTCAAGATTGTTGCACTTATATATACACGTGTGTGTGTGTGTGTGTGTGTGTGTGCGTGTGTGTGTACTAGTCCGGACTGATGCCGATTTATAGTGCCAGCTCACTGAGATACCATGCCGCAGTTCAACATGAATACCCCACTCAGAAACAGCATACTGACTCCGAGCCGACCAGTCCCTGTTTTAGCCCTTTAATGCCGGGCGCCAGACAGGGTAACAACAAGTACCATCTTTTAACGTCTTTTGGTATGACGCAGTCGTTGATCGAACCCTGGACCTTCCGCTCTCCGGGCGGACGCTCTACCATTAGCCCATGGAGGCTGTGAGATTATGTTGTTAAACGACGGTGTCAGCAATTCGAGAATGGACCAGGCAAACTAGTGACAGAGGTACGATGGTGACAGTGCGTGCGTGCGTGCGTGCGTGCGTGTGTCTGTGTGTGTGTCTGTTGCTGCCTGCACTAGTCCGGACTAATGCCGACTTAATGGTGCTAGCCCACTGAAATACCACGCCGCAGTGTAACATGAATACTCCGCTCAGACAGTCCTTGTTTTAGTCCCTCAATCCCGAACGCCAGGCAGGGTAACAAGTACGAACATTTATCGTCTTTTGGTTTTACGCCACCGGGGATCGAACCCCAACCTTCCGCACTCCGGGCGGACGCTCTATCACTAGACCCACCCGATGGTTTGCCACAAAATTCTTTGTGTAGTCATTCAATAACTAAACAACAACATGTTGTGTCTACTCATTCGTCAGTCATAACATTAGTTCTGCTTGAGAATGACTGTTAAATGTGAAATGACATCTTAACAAGTGTTAATACCTTTGATATGTTGCAAGTATGTTGTATGTGCGAACACTTGTTGAAAATACAAACACGATACTGTTGTCAGCAGACACGCGACACATATAAGCGATGGACTCTTTCTGATATGCATGATGAATTGAAATTACCATTTTATAAGCCACCCACCCTCTTTATCTCCAGGGCTCGCATTTCGTTAAGCCTGCACTAACCCTTGTATCTATTCCTGTTGTTCTCACGATCTCAAATTACCCGCCCTTGATTTTCATTAACTAATTTGATTCGCTGTGCCACTCAGTCTGACGGACCAATCAGAATGTGACCAGCCTCAATGTTGGGTTGGAGTCAACAACATGGCGGCCAGTTCCATTGTTTACCATAGAGTTTGCGAGAAATTCAACATTGAAAAACTGACTGACACGCAAAAGAAAAACATTACTCTTTTTTTAGGTTAAGGATGTCTTCATGTCCTCCTCCCTTGCCTATTTCTTTTTCTCGGCGTTTGATTGGTCGGTGAAAGGTTAATGATACTCAAGGGCAGGTAATTTGAAATCGTGATGAATCCAAAATTTTGTGAAGTTTTATTGAAATACGAGACCTGGCGATAGAATTAACGTGCCGAATGTGTTTCTATTTGGAGAGTTAAAGGTGAAAGAGCAACAAGGTCGGGATGAATTTGCAAGTCTGAATTCATTTCCTCCACAATAACAAACTCACATGTAAATAGTTTTACCCAGCCCACAATAATGCTGCAGCATTTTGTGCGTATATGTCAAGGGTAGCATCCAAGTCTATTGAGTGTGCTTGTTTTTAAAATCGTTTTTTCCCCATAAGAATTTGAATCGCCGTGTGGTTGTGACACCGATTGAGAGAAAATCTGAATATATCGCATCGACATTAAAATAAGCAAATGTCTTTATGGAAAGAAAATCACAAAAGCAATACGAGAAATTCAAGACATGTTATCGACAACTATCACTGTCTGTTTATATGCGCCGTTTTACAAAAACAGACGGGCCACGCCCAAGTCTGGGTGTGAAATGCCTATACATACATGTAGTATGCATGTGACATTGTATTCAAAGGAATAACTACCAATACGTTCACCTTGATTGATCTTTGTTATTTAATTTAATAGATTTGTTGAACGTAAGTGTATATATGTAATTTTACTATATATGCACTTTCGTTAATTCAATTGTATCAAGAATTACAACTCACCGCTTCTGAATGGTATCCAAATATGATGAATTCCCTCCTCCCTCTCTGTGTCCTGCCCGACAAGTAGCACCCGTCACTTACACAAAATGTGCTTTAATCCCAACCCTCTCGGGGGCACGGGTGGCCCAGTCGTCTCAGGCGCCGCGCCGCGATTCGCTGTACAGGCACGCCAGAAACCTATGATTGTAGGTTCGAATCCCGGTTCGCCACGATTATGTTTCTAAGTTTGTCAGCACCATACCCGTGCTCGTTGGTTTCACCGAAGTGGTAAACGTCTGAGACCTGCATCACTTGGGGCTTTCCTCCCACATTAAGCTGACACGCCGTGATATAACTGGAATAATGTTAAAAGCGGCGTTAAACCGAACTCACATACTCACTCACCCAACCCTCTCACCGAAAAAGTCAAACCACTACAGAAAATGAACAATTTCTCTAAAACATGAAATGAACATATTTATTACTGTGAAACCCCGTGTATCCGGTCGGTAGCGTCCGATTAAATCATCCGGATTAACGGGTTCTACGTACAAACTAATGCTACCTTGTATACATACAGACATGCCTGACGGTAATTGTCCATAAGGTGGGGTGTCCGTGTAAACGGATGCTTCACTGTGATTATACTGCTCAAAGGTAGTTAAAGGGGCGCTTTGTTCGCTCGTCACGCCGAAGACCCGGGTTCGATTCCAGACATGGGTACAATGTGTGAAGCCCAATTCTGGTGTCCCCCGCCCTGATATTGCTGGAATATTGCAAAAAGCGGCGTAAATCCAAACTCACTCACTCACTCACTCAAAAGTAGTTAAAGAACATCCCATTCTTTCAAATTGCTGAATTGAAATAATCCTGTGTTATTTAACTTCTTTCGAGTAGTAAAGATCTTAAAACTAATAGTTCTGCTCATATTTTCATCAGGCTCTTTTTTTACTGTGTAAACGGGTCTGAACTAACGATGCTTCACTGTGTATATTCTATTCAAAAGAACACCCGATTTTTCATATTGCTGTTTAGTAATATGAAAGAATCGGGTGTTCTGTAACTTCTTTCGAGTAGTATAAATCTTAGAAATGGTCGATCTGCTCATATTTTCATTTGGCACTCTTTGTGCCAGATGGCTGAGCATAAATACTGGCACGAAATATAATACGAATTAAATTAATATCTGCGTTATTCAATTCCTGTAGGCACAGATGTAGCATTTGCTTTTGTTTGTTTGTTAATTGTTAGGAATATTCCAGCTACATGATGGCGACCTGTAAGTCCAGTGAAGATTCGGGTTAGAAATGGACTTCAGCAACCCAAGCTTGCCATAAGAGGCAACTAACAGGATCGGGTGGTCAGCCTGGTGACTTGGTTGATGCTTGTCATCGTATCCCAATTGTGTAGATCGATGCGCATGATGTCAATCAATGCATTGTCTGGTCCAGACTCGATTATTTAAAGACCACCGACATATAGCTGGAATATTGCCGAGGGCGGCGTTAAACAAATACAAACAAACAAACAAACAATCAAATAACGAGTCTGGACCTGACAAAACGAGTGATCAATATTGTGGGTAACCTCCCACACCATCGGGATTTATTTAGAGTAAACATATGTGATAACATACCGTTAATTCACACACGATATCGCTGAAATTAATGTAAACAATATTGAATGAGATTTTGAAAAAAAATTAATGAAACAGATTACAAAACCATAGGTCAAGATATACAATGAACACTTTTATGACCATATAGTGTAGTAAAAAGGATTAAATGGCGTACTTTGGTACGGTTTTACCTTTTTACTCATCAAAAATATAACGTACCAAAGTAGCTTTGATATTTTATCAACAGGGTGTCGCAAGACTTTTCAGATTATAGATGCAGTTGAGGCTATTGTTAGCCTCTCGCAATAATTTCGTGGCGCAAAACAGTCCAGATTTACGGTATCCAGGTGAAATTGCCTTTGAAGAGTGGCGTATCACTTTTATCTAATCCTGATGAGTTTTATTACTATGTGTTTTAAAGACTAAGCTGCAATGAACTGATAAGTGCAACGAACGGATTATATCAGCTGTTGTGATAAGAGACGTGACTGGAGTAATTGCACCACAGTGCTGCCGCGGGTGCACTCGCCCACGGGCAACGAGCTGCACATCACGTGACTGTGATAGCACTACCTTGTGTAAGTATAAAGAGGCCAAGAAGAGATGGACGTTATTCAAGGTGAGAGTAGTCAGATGATAAACTTGACCAGTGGAATACTGTGACGTGAGTGCTGTTGAAGTCAGATCTAACGAAATCAGGTAAGGCAGGCATCTGCTGTTGGATTATGTGTATTTACATGGGTTTTGAAAAGACTGACACTCGCTGTCCTGTTTGGGGCAAACACGGGTTCATTTCCGGGCCGCGGTAATATAGAGAAATGTTGCTGATTGGGGCGTTTAACAACATTCACTCACGGTTATACTGGTGTATGAACATGTGCACAAAAGGCCTCATGGCAATGTCAAAACACTTTAAACAGTAAACCATGCGTACCAACATCGTATACATTTTGTTCTAACATCGTCTTCCTTGCAATACCCACAATCAAATTGTTACATATACTATCTTTCTTACAGGCCATAAAGTAACGATAGTGATCACCTGCACTTCTGACAGTGATTTACCTGTATGAAGGTACCTTGGAACCGCCTCAGGATGAAGATAGCCCGGTCTGCCCCCATGGTCAGTGCCCTCATAGTGTCTGCGGTGCTCCTGTACATAGCTTCCAGGACGAGGCCGAGACAACCAATGTTTCTGGATCAACAAGACAGGGTCGGACTCAAGTCCAACGCTCAGGTATGTGAAGCATGACATCCCCTTAAGTTAAGCGTTTGTCTCTGTCTGATGTGGGGATCACAAGATGTGTCCGTGTCTGACTTTTTATCAGAGCGATGAATCTCCGTGGCAATTGGTCCCCTGTATCCCAAGCTAACGTTAGGGGATCGGTAGGGTAGTTCCGGTGACATGGCTGATTGGGTGCCCCGTGTTTCGTTGCCCATGCTTTCAATCACTGCTTCTTCTGGTCCCGTTATTAACAAAGGCCATAGATATAAAACAACATTCCTTTTTAAAAGTCATATAATATTAGTGTTTGCATATTTTGTTTCTAAAAAGAAATTCGTCATGAGCGTGTAATACACGACATGTTGAAAGATTTTGCAGTTGTATTGTTCTTTCGTAATTCAATTATGAAGTACCCGTCGAATACCACAAGATGTATTGGTTACCAACTAGGAGTACACCTATCTTTTCCTGGTGTATTACACGTTGTATTATTTGCAGGATGGAACAAAAGAGAAGAAGTCCCTCCCAGAGCCAGCGTTAGGTACCGGGGAGGGTGTGGCCGCCCATCCCATCCCCTTGGAGGACAAGCTCCGTACCATGACCAACAAACAACTGGCAACTCTTTATAACGAGTAGGTATTAAGAGTTATAATCACTTTGTTTTACAACGAGTAGGTGTTTAATACAATTGCCCTTAACGTCTTTTCACTGTGAATACGAGGTGTAAACCCTTGTTTTAACTGGATGATTGTACTCAATTATTACACATGTATAAGGGTTGTTTTGATATCAGCATTACCATAGCGTATCAGTTGCTCTGAACAAGCAACTGACGCAGCGCATATACGGACCGTGACTTATAATCTATGTAGCATGTATCAAACGGATGATTAACACCGTGTTTCGTATATCAGTTATGTCAACCATCAAACGCCCTTTAATTTCTAAGAGTTATTTGTTATCTAACAAAGGTCAGCGTGTCTAGCCCTATTTCAGTTTTTTAAAGAACATCCATGTGTTCGGCTTCATTTTTTTATTTAAGCAATATCAACGTGCTGTATTTCAGTTATCTGACCAACGTGCAAGTGTTGTGCTATATTTAGGTTATGAAAGCAATATCAACGTGTTGTGCTGTATTTCAGTTATCTGACCAACGTGCAAGTGTTGTGTCGGGACAAGATTAGGATGGGCAACATTCACGGCGGCGGCTGGGACGTCTGTGTGGACGGACATTACAAGCTGAAGAAAGACAACTGCATCGTCTACTCATTCGGGTTAGTTTTGTATTTTTGAATATTGTTTATGTATTTATGGTAAATAGATGAAAATGATTACATACAGTTTGATTACTGTTTACAAAAATTCAACACTCACTCTCACGTCTTATTTTATTCTTACAGCATTGACAACGACTTCAGCTTTGACGATGACGTCGCTGACACCTTCGGCTGTGAAGTGCATGCTTTTGATCCCAGGTAGGTGTGTTTGTGTGTGTGTGTGTGTGTGTGTGTGTGTGTGTGTGTGTGTGTGTGTGTGTGTGTGTGTGTGTGTGTGTGTGTGTGTGTGTGTGTGTGTGTGTGTGCTTGTACTAGTCCGCAGTAATGCCCATTTTATAGTGCTAGCCCACTGAGAAACCATGCAACAGTTTAACATGAATACCCCACTGATACACAGTATACTGGCTCAAAGCCGACCAGTCCTTGTTTTAGCCCATTAATGTGTGTTAAAGACTGTACGGGACCACCAGAAATAGGCTTCACACATTACACACAGCTGGGAAGTCAACCCCAGCATAAACCACGACGAGCGAACGCTTTGAACCACTAGGTTACCTCTCCACCCCGAGAATGTTGACAGTTTCAAATAATCACTAAGTATTACCTTGGTGGATGGTGCTCTCTCACTCTGTTACTCTGAGACATCCGTGCTCTTGTATTCACGTCATGGCGGTGACCAGACACAAGAAATTATGTTTATTACCCGACATTGTCTCTCAGTCATTATGTGATTAAAACCGCATTCAATATTACAGCATGAATAAGGACGACCACCTGAGGGGGAAGCTGATCAACTTTCACAACCTTGGACTGGCGGACATCAATGGTAACGGCAAGAGGAGTTGGCCAATGAAGACACTCCCGGTCATCAGACAAGACAACGGACACGCTGAGGTAGGACTGTAGACATTAATGAACACGTTTACTGAGAGGTACGGCCAATGTCTTCCTTGTACCGCTTCACTTGTAGAGAACAGTAGAGAATTTGATTTGGGGATTTAAAACAGCCCCAAAAGAGTCCCTTATTGATCAAAAAGATTTCTGTTAAAATAATTGCTATTTATAAGATTGTTATTTGAAAAATGCGCCCAGTTGAAATAAGAACGTGTTTTACTGCGATATACAGTTTTGTATTTGTACCATTGAAAACATGATACAATAACAACAGGAAATATACAAATATATAGGTTCTTCACTTCTGTATAACTTCGTTTCCAGAAAGAAATTGACTACGTAAAGATTGACATCGAAGACTCCGAATGGGGAGCTTTGAGATACGCTTTCAAAACCGATGCCCTCAAAGGTATAAAGCAGCTGTCGTTGGAGTTCCACATGTTTGGTAAAGAGGAAGTGTCTAGGTACATCGCCCGGCTGAACGTCCTCCGGGAGTTGTACAACCAGGGCTACAGGATATTCTGGACAACCAACAACGTGGTCTCCGCCTGTCGCTTCACCTCTGTCTTCGATGGCAGACAGAGAACCAAGTGTCATGAAGTCTACTTCCTCAAGTGGGTTTAAAGTTCGCCACGATTCATAGAAGCCTATAGACAGGGAACCAGAGGTCATGAAGTCTACTTCCTCAAGTGGGTTTAAAGTTCGCCACGATCATAGAAGCCAATAGACAGGGAACCAGAGGTCATGAAGTCTACTTCCTCAAGTGGGTTTAAAGTTCGCCACGATTCATAGAAGCCGACAGACAGAGAACCAAGGGTCATGAAGTCAAGTTCTGGAAGTGGGTGGTTTAGAGACTAAATGGGCCACGGGTGTCTCTGTCTAAAAAGGTCTTTCTGTTCATTTTACATTGTGCTTTGTGCGTTGTGCCTTGTTCATCCATTTCGAGCTGAGTTTGCATATTTGACTTCATTGCCTCCACAATGATGAGTTCCCAATCCACATTACTGCTACAACGTTGTGTGCGTCGAATCTCAACAACGTGGTCGACCTGGTCAATGGACTTTGGTTGTTTGTTGAATAACTTGTGTATATTTTGTATTCAATTTGTAAATAGTGCCTATCCATCTTTGTAAATATTGTACATATGTCATGTCATTGCTGTATTTTGTCAATTTCCATTCCAATAAACATGTCTTTTCTTCATATGCCACCAGTGTATTGATCATGACGTGCACCAGGTGTTACGTGCGACCCAGGTAATTGCTTGGTTTTAAAACTAAGTTAGGCAAAACATAATCATCACGTCGGCTATCTTACGTCACTGATATATGTGAGTGAGTGAAGTGTTATGCCGCAAGTGTGCGTGTGTGTAGGTGGGAGGAGGGTGGTGTGTGTGTGTGTGTGTGTGTGTGTGTGTGTGTGTGTGTGTGTGTGTGTGTGTGTGTGTGTGTGTGTTTTAATAGATAGAATATGTGTTTCATAATTTGCGATCAAATAATTTACATACTCTGTTTTGTATCCAAAATGAGGTTCCCAACTATAAATTTGGAGGGCACATTATTTTGTGTGGCGAGTGCTACTGGTAAGGCAGGACATACTTACCCTTTTCGGGAACACCTGGTGTCATCACTGATTTTCAGTGATCCATTCATATAAGTTTCACCGCTATTTTAATATTTACTCCAAATGGAATCTGTTTTGGGGGATAGTTATTCCCTGCCATTGACGTTTTATATATATTTGAACGTCCTGCATGTCCAGTAAACGATGAATTCGTTTTTCAAACTGCGGACACGAACACAAATATTTTTTTCCTTCATTTTTCGGAAGAGATTATTTTTTCAAAACAAATACCTTTTCTATTCAGAATATCAAATGGTTGCCCCCCAAAAGCAATATTCCAGTCTAATCGCCAGGGAAAAAAATGATTTCCTAAATTGGAATCATATGGGTAATCGAATATGGAACATGAAAAAATTTTCGTTGATGAATCTTATATTACACAGCAGACAGCAATACACATGCTCTCTATACATCGGCCTGTAAATAGTAATGTCTATGTGGGGCAGACCAATGGTTGATAGCAAGATGAAGGATCCGCGCCGTCGGGGGTAACCTGACACGCCATCAACCAGGTCACATACATATGTTGTCAAATTAGTCAATTTAGTCGTAGTCGGCTCTTAAGCATGGAGTACAGGGAACCTACACTGGCATGGAATTCCCATGTGTGGACGTGATGTGCTGCAGTTTTGTTACATTATTTGTACAACGTTATATTTTACTGAAACAGAAACGTTACTCTCAAACAATTCACAACAAGGGGCTGTCAGGTATCTTGTGATAAAAATGATCTTAAGATTTTTTCTGTACAATCCTGGAATACCCCATATCGACTTAAATGGCCAAACTCGCCTTATAAACATGGACTTCACTCGATATGTAATATATGGTGTAAAAGGCTCCTTACCGAATTAGAATGAATAAATCACCTGTTAAAACTTGGAATATTTCCTTAAATTGTAATCTGATGACGTATAATGCTCCATGCCATGATTAATCACATGTCTGGGGCATTATCATCGATACGTAGTAGGTCTTAAACGTTAGTTCTGCGTGGGAATTATATTAATATGTGAAATGCCATCATAACGAGTGTTGAAGCGTTTGAAATGTTGCCAGTATAATTGTGAACAAGTGTTGCCAGGCGCATTGACAAAGAAAAATATAAACACTCTACTGTCGTCAGCATCTAGAATTCTGTTGCACGTGACACAGATCAGCGAAGGACCGTTTCTAATTTGCATGATGATGCGCAATTGTGATTTTGTCATTCTGAATTAATGCACGTAATGTGGTTCTATTTTGTCAACAGTTATAGGTGAAATTCTTTAGACTGTGGCTGCTTGTAGACTCGCCATTTACCCATGCAAGTTTCAGTGGTCGTGTGGTCGTGACCCTTATAAAGTGTGAATCTATTTCATGGACAAGAATATCACTCACGAACAAAATTGTACAAGAAGTTCCAGTCATTATCTGCTTCAGGACGTTGGGTATCTCGGTGCAAGTTTTGAAGAGCTTCTGGTCACTTGTTCTTGACTGAGAATGAAGCTCTTGTAAATCTAAGTAGGATGATCTCCCTTTCACTGTCGACTACCCTTAGAGATGTGGGTTAGAATTGGTCTTCAGCTACCCATGCTTGCCTTTAGAGGCGATTATTATGGAATACTGTAAGTGACATTCTCGCGATCTCGCATTCTCGGGATCTCGACCTTTGGAAACGAGCTAAATATGCCAAAAACACGATATTTGGCCCAAATCTCGCAATCTCGAGATCTCGCATTCTCGTCTTTATATAGCACTTTTTGTCAAAAATCGACAACGCGAGAATGCGACAACTGGACATGATGAAAAATCCCGCAATCTCGCAATCTAGACTAGTCAAATTAGGCCACAAAAACACAAATTCGCGTGAACGCGACAATGCGACAGTTCATTTTCTCACGATCTCGCGTTCTCGTGTTCTCGCGTTTTAGACGCTGTCCGTACGCGTGCGTAATATCATAAGGTCAAGGCGGCAGTCCTCGTTTCCGGGGCAGATCTTGAAAACCGTACCATATTTCTTCACCAAACCTGGCACATAATGTCATCTCGCAGTATTGAATACATTTCCTTTCTTGTTGGCAAGTTCTGCATTGCTTGTGTGTATGTTCCTCCAAAAGTGTCATGGACATGGTTGTTGCATTCACTGACTAACTTCATGCCGAAACACAACTCATTACAAATACAACAGTGTAACTGATCTTAAACCTACTCAACTGTATAAACACTGCCTCCAATCCTGTATATATTCTTGTCAACCATACTCTGTACTTCACTTGCTTGATAACGGTGTTAGAACCTACACTGAAACCATCGCACCTAATTGCAATAAAGAAGTTGTTCGTCCATATGTCTCATCCTTACTCCTTACAAATACAGTTACATATTCTATCATATACTGCAGATGGCAAAACAACACCAGTTATAACCTTTTTTAGTGCTGCCATTTACAATAAGGCCCAGTGAACATAGTTCACAGGAGCTGATGCATTGTACACAACGTTTCATGTCATATTGGCGGGGGATATGAGTATTTCATCCTTGTTTAGAATGATATATAACTTGCTGAAGTTATGTGCATCACATTCGACATTTCTTCCCACGCCCCGATGGTATTTTCATGTATACAAACGGCAATATAAAGGCAGGGGAGGTTTATTGTATTGGAGATGCGGTGTGCACTACACATTGAAAGGGAACCTAGGTAACCGTTAGCTACATACCGGAGCAACAGGTAGTCATGCACGTCAGTTTATGTGCAGTAATACCTATTCACTACGACAGATGTTATTGTACGCGTACGGGCGTAAGGGCCTCACCTCGCGAAGTGCATCAAATGAATGAGTGAATAAATCCGAGTTGTTCAGGAGGATTGACTCTATACCCCAGATTTCACTATTATGTAGGATTACTGGCTCGAATAATATTTTGAATAATTTGCAAGTAAGAGCTGTAGGTATATCCTGTTTATGAAGCTTGTGGTAGGCCTTGGGCCTTTTTCAGGAGAGGTTTAGCACTATTTGTAAGTTTAAATTTGCTTTAAATGTATTTCCTAAGTAATTATATCTATCCGTAACTAGTGTCTTTCTATCACCAACATGTGTTTTGTCACCACTGATCTTTAGTTTATTTGTTGCTCAAAATACACTTAGACCATCAAGTAACACTTGTAGTTTTTTGGAATAGTTAAATAGTACTGAGTCATCGGGAAACAACACATGACAAATGTTTAAACCATTAAGTGTTATATGATAACTTTCAGATTTGAAGATCATTGAGGAATATATATTGAATAATATGGGAGACAAAATGCATCCTTGTCTTACCCCGATGTTGGAGTTGAAGGATTTTGAAATGCCCTTGTCAGTTTTCACTATATAAGAGATATAGTGATGATATTATTTTTAATACATTTCCTCAGATTTTATTTGATAGTATCTTTGTTAGGAATAGTGATCTGTCAACTGAATCAAAGACAAATACATGTTCGTTATCCCCCTTCTTAATCCAGACTTACAGTGGTCTTGTAATAGAGTGTTCCATGTGCTCCAGTATTCTTTCATTTATGAAGTTGCAAAATAGTGTACCCAAGCAGCTGCTCAGTGCAAAACGTGTGTAATTGTTTGGGTCAGTCTTATCACCCTTCTCATGTAAGAATTCATTGGAATAGAGCTAGCTGGAACTGGCTAGACTTGCTTTTCTATGCAATATTTTTTTTTTTCATAAAATATATATATTCCACAGTCATGGTGCATGACTAAACTCTGTGGAAAGTGAGTACTATTTCAGACATTAAGCAGTTTAACAAATTGGTCTATTAATGTACAATATATTGATTTTAAAAAATAATTCTTTATGATATTTTCGCCTGGACTTGAGTTGTTTTATAAAAGTGCTAATTTCATTAGTTTTTGTTTTTTTACTCTGTCACATATATGCATATTTCTTTGTTTTAGTGTTGTAAATATTCCTGAAGTGGTTCGTTAGCTCTTCTCAGGATCAGGATAAATAAATTGTAGTATTATTTAATAGTTTCCAGAAATGATTCCTGTTTTGATGAATATTATAATTGTACTGTTAATATTTTAGATTTCCATATGTGTCATTCACATTGTGAATATATCCTTTAACTATGATAACTATAATTCTTTCTTCTTTGAGTGGCATTTAGAAGTTGGAGTGATGAAGTAAGACGAGTTCTATGGATGAACAACTTCTTTATTACAATTAGTGCGACGTTTCGGTGTAGATCCTAACACCTTTATCAAGCTCAATGAAGCGAAAAAAATATGACGGGAGGATATATAAACCTTTTCGTGAACACCCGTTATTAAGGCCTGAACCACATCGGGTTTTTATTCATCAATCTGATACGACGTGATATGACTGAAATACTGTTCAAAGTAGTGTTTAACTCTCTCACGGTATTGTGCGTTACTGCAACTGTCAACATTATGTGTAGTGATGCTATGTAATATGTACAAGAAAGCATAATTATTCAATTATCCAGTTGATTTGATTTGAGTATACTTGCGTCAGTGTATTTTATTAACGCCCAACCCCGCATTTGTTAAACACATATTAAAACAGATCAGATACACGCATGGT